TACTATAAAAATGTAAGTACATTGTACGGTCATTAGAATAGTAGTTCTAATAAATAAAGACAAGATTGCTTAAAAAAAAAAAAAAAAAAAAACTATAGAAATTAATCTGATTTTATATTTATATTAAAATTAAAAAAATTTAATAATAAAAATATTCTAGAAATACTGCAAAAGTAATCCAGTTTTATATTTATATTAAAATTAAAAAATTCTATCAATTAAAACTTGTTTTATTTAATTTTAAAAACAAATATATTGAGAAAATGCCCTATAGTAGTTTTGTATTTATTATATGTTTTATATAATTTTCTCAGTTTTTTTATATAAAATTTTTAGCACAAATTCTTTATATAATAGTTAGTATTTAGTGCTAGAATTAAGGTTAGGAGGGTTTTGAGAGATATAAAACATTTTTACTTAGAATATTACATATTAATTAAGTATTTGGCTTTTAAAATATTATTTGATTTTCTTTATCTATAATAATATATTTGTTTTTTTCTATTTTTAAAAAACTACACAATGATCAATAGCAGCTACTTTTTACCAAAATATCAAAATAATTTATATTTTTTTTGAAATTTCTATATTTCTTACCCAATATATATAAACTAATAAATTTGGTTCATTTTCATATTTATAAATAAAATAATATAAAACTTGACTATAAAAATCTTGTTCTTAAAAAAACAATAGGTGCTTTTGAACGATATGTATTTTTATCAGCAAAAAATTTTGTCTATAATAATTATAAAATATAAAATATTTAAATATTTTATAATTTTAAAATAATTACTTACTGCAATTGAATAATTATTTCTTTTTATATCTTCATCATTATTAGAAAATAATAAACTAATAATTGATCCAGATTTTGTTTTTAATTTGCTATATTTGTAAATTTTAGTAGTATTGATCTAAATTTTTAAATATATTATTAAAAATATAATTTTAATTAAATATAATTAATATAAATTATTTACCTCTATATTTTTTAATAGTAAATCAAATTTAGTTGCATAATATTGTCTAATTTTTTGAATTTTTCTTTTTGTTATTATATGTTCTTTTGATAAAGAAAATAAATTTTCTTTATTAAAAGATTTATTAAAAATTGATTTAAAAATTTGCTAATTATATTTATCATTATATTGTAAATATGCAAAATGTGTCCACATAGTTAATTGATTTATTAAATTTTTATATGGATGTATATGAGAATTAACTAAAGATATTAACATTCCACATAATCTTTCTATTAGAAATTGCCATGTTGCCCATGCAGGATCAGTTTCATAAATTGATTCAGCAATATATAAAAAATAATGAAAGCTAATAAGGGTTGCCTATAAACATTCAGATTTTTTTGATAATATTCTCTAAAAAAATATATTAATTAAAATTTTAAAATGTTATTTTGTAAATAATTATATTTTAAAAACTTACTGTTTATAATGTTTAATAAATTTGATAAATAATAAAGTTTGATTAAGGCATAATTTTGTTGCTTTAACAAAATTTGACTATCTATTTAAATATCTATAAATTTAAAAAAATTAATAATTATTTATAATAATATAATTTTTTTAATTTATAAATTATTAAAAATAAGTACTTTTCTGGAAAATATTTATCCGAAAGAGGAATTGAATACAAAATTATTTAATTACACCACTCCTCAGCTTTAAAATATAAGTAATATTTTTGGATATTATTAAGAGGTTTACTAAAATTTGTTGGCATTGTTTTTTTATTGAAAATTACTTAAATTACACCTGGTTTATATACACCACATACTAGTTTATTGATTTACAAATTTGTTTAATATATAAATTGTAAATAAAAAATTTGTATAGCTTAAGGTTAGGGTGAGAGTAGCTTTAGGGTTAAATGAGGTTTTAGTTTATACTAAAATTTTGCAAGAAATATTTTTTGTTAAAACACCAAAAGCTATTATATAATCAGGATTTTGAGATATCAATATGTGTGGTGTATATACACCTGTTGTACAAATCACAATCGTCTTTTTTATTATATTCAATTATTTTTTCAATTTCATTCTAATTATTTTTTGAAATTTTGTATCCTGTATTATTTAAAATTTTATTTTTAAAAAATTTTTCTATAAAATGACAAAACATATGAGGAGCAATATTTTCAAAAAGTGTATGCATAATATCTGCTAAAAATGATAAAGGAAAATTAATTGAAGATAATTCAAATAAAATACTATATTTATTTATGCCTTTTTTATATTCTTTAATCTAGAATATAACTATTATGAGAACACATTAGTAAATTTTCTGGTTCATAATTATTATATTCATATAATGACTAGCAGTTTCAGAATAAGATTCTTTTATATAACAATAGCAGCATTCATATTTAGCATTATGATCTGAAAGACACATAACTTTAGATAAAACAGGAATATCCCCAGACTATGAAAGAATGTAGCAATGCAGTTTAAATGTTTTTTTAATATTGCATTATAACAAGTTATATTACATTCAAGCTGCTTTAATTCATCAACTAATGGTCATAAAAAACTATTAAAATCTTTTGAAGATTTTGGTCCAGGTATAACTAGTGTTGTACATGGACAATGTCCTGTAAAAATTTCAGGGACACAGACAGTCCCGGACAATGCTCCATGTTTCAGACAATATCCCACGTCTGTAATAGTATCCTATATCACAAAGTTTATCAAGCATTCTCATTAGCTAAAAAGACACTCTTATTATAATATTTAATTGTCTGAGATGTTAACATTTTGGCAGACATGTCCGGGACATCCTGTCCCAGACTATTCATGTCTCTGTCCCATGACAACACTGGGTATAACCATATTAATTATTAAATTTTCTTTTTTAATGGTAAAAGATTTGTATTTAAAAGTAAAATTATCTAACAGTTATTTCATTTTTGTTTAAAACTTGATAGCTATCTATAGATGCAATTAAAGCAACATTTCTATAATCTAAAAATAAGCCTGATGCTACTAAAGTTTTATATCTATTACCATCAAAAACATCTTCAATTTGCTATTCTTAGAAGTATATTCTTTTCTTGATATATATTCATACTGATATCTAAGATCCTTTGTTTGTAATAGATTTTTATATTTTAATTTTAAGCTATTAGCTATTGAAAAATATGCTAATTGTTTTCTAGATTTTTTTTGATTTTTTTTAGTTGCATATTATGACTCTTTATATATAGAACATGCATTAAAATTAGTATTTTTCCCAGTAAATACACAGAAAGAATTCCAACAAATATCTATAAGTATTAATTCTAGTAAAACTAAATTTTCTAAAACTTTTTGAAGTTAATAAAGAGAAATATTAGAAATATTAAATATTTCTAATATTTTATTAAATGCTTAATCAGAAATTGTATGTGTATATTTATCTTTAATATAAAGAAGCTGAAGCCCTTTAATTATTTTACTTGGTAAATTTAAAATATAAAAATATTAATATAAAAATTTTTAAAAAAGTTTTTTTAAATAAAATATTAAAAATAATTACCATTAAATTCAGCATTATCAAAATTCTCTTCTGATTCAAAGCTTATTTTTTCATTATTTTCTGATTTATCCTCCTCCAATTTATCCTCCTCCAATTCATTCTCTTCCAATTTATTCTTCAATTCATTCTCTTCCAATTTATTCTTTAATTCATCCTCCTTCAATTTATTCTCCAATTTATCCTTCTCCAATTCATCCTCCAATTTATTCTCTTTCAATTTATCCTTTAATTTATTTTATTCCAATTTATTTTACAATTCATTCTCTTCCAATTTATTCTTTTCCAATTTATCCTTCTCCAATTCATTTTCCTCTAATTCCTCATTTTCTAAATCTAAAATATAAAAAATTAATTTAATTTAAAAAAATTAATTCAAAATAATAATAATTTTTTTTAATCTTACTTTGTTCAATATTTTCCTCAATATTCTTCATACTTTCAATATTTATTTGATTATTCAAAATATTATTAGATGTACTATTTGAAATTGGAAAAGAATTTTGAAGATTTTTTTTTTTCTATACCTTGTTTGAGTAGATGTATTATTTAAACTTGGATAAAAATTTTGAAGATTTTTTTCTCGCTTCCTATGTCTTGTTTGAGCAGAGATACTTAACATTTTACCAAAAACATTAGTTTCTTTAATGCAAAAAATACAAGTGCATAAAACTTTAGTATCTATAGCTAATTATTATAAAATTTATAAATTAAAGATAAGTATTTGAAATATCAAAATTTTTTAAGTTAATTAATTTTACTACCAATTATTAAAAAAACTAACCTTTTTTTACTAATATTTTTTTTTTGCAAAAAACAAACTCATATTTCGCCAAATTAATAAAAAAGCAACTACAAAATCAAGTTGCGAAAAATTAAAAGAATCAATAGAATTATATAATAATAATCTGTAATAAAAACCTGTTATCGGATTTTTAATTATATTTTGTATAGTTAGCTATCTATAAATATATAGAATCAAGGAGAGACTATTACTCCTCTGCTGTGGTGAATATACTATAACCCACTCATTACTCATATACACTCAACCTTTCCTGAATACTCAATTTTAACTTCTTGGACTACTAGTCTTAAAAACTCTACTACTAGCAATTTTAAAACCAACTGCTCTGTCTTGGTGTACATGGACAATACTCTTTGGATTGCATCTAGCCAAGAGAAACTAGTCAACATTCTGCTTACAGCAGAATCTTTCTATAATATGGCCAACATTAAAGTCAACCCAACTAAATCAATCCTATCATCTAATGCTAAACCTAATACTTATCATTCAATTTCCTTCAATAGTGAAACACTTCCACTTTGACCTGCCTATCAGCCTTTCAAGTTCTTTGGCTACTGGTTCACTCTCAATAATAAATACATTAAACAATCTCAACTTATCTTCTCTGAATCTTCTCAGCTAGTTAGAATCGCCAGTACTAAACAAATAACAAATACCCAAGCTCGTTATATTATTAATACAGTTATTATTCCCACTATAGAATATAGACATCATAATATTGTTCTAAATCAATCAATACATTAACCTTGTTAAACACAAGGCAAAACTTTGTCGCACTATTCCTACTAGCATTCTTCTTTACCCACATATTTACAATATCAAAAAACATTTGGGACATTCAACTTCAACACCACATTTCCAACTTAATTAAATGTCTCAATAATACTTCTCTTTTTGAAATCTCTACTCAAATTAGAGTTCAACAACTTCAAAATAATCTTTGGTCTTCGACCAGTATCTTATCTCATCCCAACCCTCTAATTGATGGTTCTAACCAGTATACTACCAACTTCAAAATCATATAACTTTTTAAATACTTATACTGGACAATAAATTCAAATCTTAATACACCTATACCCTCAACTATTCAAAAAGGATTAGTCACTCTTGAATCAATTCTGTCACTACACCCTCAATATCTTACCTTTAAAAAATAACTACACCTCCATCACATTTTATTTCTTGACCAAATTACAACTTCTGATAATTCCTGCCTTCTTGACTGGAAACATATTTCACCAAAACTTAATAAACTTCCTAAGGGAAAAATTCCTTTATAGTTTAAATTTCTTGAAAACTCTATTACTAACTCTTTATATAACCATGTTATCACTACTTAACTTAACCTCTCACCAACAAACTACTATAGCTATAACACTGGTCACTTCTACAAACATTCCAAACCCTGACTTATTACTCTATTTAATAACCAAATTATTATTGGCAAAGCCCGTCGCCAATTTACCAACTCTGAACACACACTTATCAACCACTGGCTCATCATTATATCCTGTTTCTAACATAACCTCAAAACCATGTTTCAACTACTCTCTCAACTCTAACCTTATTAATAACAAGTGTACTATCTTGATCCCAACTAGTCAAGCTACCAAATTTTTTGGTAAACTTGATTCTAACAAATCTATCAACTTCAATGCTAACCCACTTGATCTCATACAATCAATAAAACTCAAAAACACTACCCAGATTCCAAATTTCATAATTCAAGTCTTCTAAATTTCTCCTATATTTGCTAATAGCCCTGCTCTCGACTCTCTCCAACTGATTGCAAATCACAACTTGTACTCTACTAATCTTACTTTTTATACAGATGGGTCTGTTATCAGTACTAATAACCTTCAATGCTCTATGGATATTGGATGGTTACAGGTTGATAACAATAATATTCTTCAAATATTCCATGCTCAAATTTCTTTATGGCTATGTTCATTTAATGCTGAATTATTTACAATACTATCTGCTTTATGCACTGCACCCAGAAACTGTGACATCCATATTTTTTCAGACTCCCAATCTGTAATCTCCAAGTACAACAGTCTAACCCAGCAAACAACCAATATCAAGCTCTCAAACACTCCATACTGGTCTATGTGGAATACACTTCTCAACCTTACTAAATCTTATAACTTAAAAATTACTTTCTACAAAGTTAAAGCACACCAGAATGATATATTTAACAACAAAGCTGATCAACTTGCCTGTGACCACCTCAACATGCCACATCTTATATTTAAGCCTAGTAACATTTATAATCCCTCATATATTCCTTTTATAGATTGTTATCCTCTTGAACTTTCCACTCGCCGTAGCATTTAAACAATATGCTATGCAAAAATCTTTGCTACCTAGTCCTCCCAAAATCATTTCCAACCATGGATACAAATCTCCTAGCATATCAACTGGGATACAACCTGGCTTTATCTTAACAACAACTAAAAAGTTTCTAATTTCGCTCACAGTTTTCAATCTTCTACACTTAAAACATTTAGAATTAAGCTACTTACTGACAAACTTCCTGTTCCTCACATCTTACATAAAAGAAACCAATCTTTTCCTAATACTTGTCACAATTGTCAACAAACCAGCACTACACTACACTGGACAATTTGCCTTTCTCCAAACCCTCTTTATTATTTTATTCAAAATTCTATACAAACAATCTTAACTTCCCACAAACTTCAAGTCTTCCTAGCTCAAATTCGTCAATTGCATAACCAAATCTCTAATCTTGACAGCCTTCAAACACACAACTCTTCTGATAAACCTTCAATTTTTTCTACACTATCTGGACTTATTCCACTAGATATTATATATACAATTCGAGAATATACTACATCAAATCAAATAGCTAAATCAATTACTATACAACTACT